GTAAAAAGTGCTAAACAGAGAACACCTTAACAATTGGAAAGTTCCTTTGTTTCACTTTTATTCAAACACGTATCTTTCGAAGCCAGAGAAGGCACTTAGAGGATCTCAGTTACGGTGTTTTGATTTTCGTTTTTAGTTCTCCTACGAAATGGCTTTTTTTAAAAACGGTTTCCTGCAAGTTTTAAATTGGAGGAAACCTGAAAATAGTAGTTTACTAAGATAGAAAAACATCAAAGAGATAATAGTAAACCATAAAGGAGCAAGGATGGTTAAGCATGTTGAAGATTGACATAGTTGTGTACAAACGACGAAATTGAAAATTTACGGCTAGTCTTTTCAAGATGCGCAAAGCGTGACGTAGCTCCTTCAAGTCCTATTGACATTTTTCCTTTACTTATTCGATTGAGTCATTGACACGTACCTTCTTCTTCAAGGAGTTGAAGTTGTCAATGACAACACCGACGAACAGATTGAGGACAAAGAAAGAACCAAGAATGATAAATGCTACAAAATAGATGTACGCGATCATGTTGCTATTCTTCTGTGGCTGCTCGTCAAGCTGAAAAAAGGAGAAGAGCATCGTCAGTGAAAAAGGAAGGGGCTAGATTGAATCAACATACTATGATAGTCTCTTGCGTGAATGCAACTTATATTAATAATGATCAGTTTGCTTCAGACGCTTCCTTCAAAAGCCAGGAGATAAATGTCAAGCTTTGTTATAGACCCTATACATAAATGGCTGCCAATTAAAAATTATTTTACAAGTATTAAAATAAGCCCAACTAACCTTGTTTTTGAGTTGATAAAGCAAAAGAATTTTTGCTTTCAAACAAGGTTAGTTGGACTAATTTAAACGCATACAAAAGAATTTTAAATTGGCAACCATTTATGAATCGGGTCTATAACATGTTTTTCCCCAATAGTGTGCAATTTCATTAGCCACTTGCACCACCGCTTGCAAAATAATACATGATAGTTTACCTCTGTGGAATCAACTGCATTATGCATGACGTCAATCCAACCTTCAAATGTTGCCTGGAACAGAATATAGAAGGGACAACTTTGGTCCCTATGAATAGGCCTTTTGGAACAGTTGGTCACGTGATCGATAATCTCTAAACTTTTAGATACAACTAAATAAATTTCAGAACTGGAAAGAGCATGTTTTAAATAGCCAGAGCAGCTATTTTCAGACCAATGACATGTTGATTGAGATTTCATGAAGATATGAATATTGCAAAAATTGGAAGGTTTTGTACGGAAGTGAGGAAGCTTTGTCCTTCAGAAACCTTTTCCGTTGTTAATCACTACAAAAGGAAGCTACTGGCAAATAACGATATGATATAGAAAGAAGGATAAAATATTAGGAAAGAATGGAAAATTCTAGGCTCTTAACCAAAAGACAAAGATTTTATGGCAAGTTGAAAACTTGCAAAATTACAAGTATGTGTTTGGAAATAATGAATGGATATAAACCTGAAAATTCGCATGTAAGCTTATTTTAAAATGTTCTTTTCATTTCTGATAGTATTATCTATTACCAGTGACTAAATCAGTATGTTCATTTTCATCTATTTTACTTACTTGGTTATCCATCAATTGAAGCATCCATAAAATAATCATTGAAAAAAGTGGAATGCATCTTCACTCGACATAAGCAATAAAATTAATTACCTGATATGCTGCGAGAGCTAATAGGTTTACGACTTCCGGCATGCTTTTCAATATAATTTTGCATTCGAGAAATGCAATCTACGTTTTGTTTCACAATGTAGATTGGCAAAACAAACAGGATTTCTACACTGGAAAAACAAAACGTAGTTTGCATGACAGAAAAACTGAGCATTTTAATGCGATCACGAGTAGCCGTCATGCATCTACCATTGCAGACCACGTCACGTCAACTGTTCATAACTTAGACAACTTAAAATAGGGCTAACTTTGACATATTAGGAAAAGGATGGTCAGATACTCATTGGAATATAAAGAAAACTCTGCTAATTCGGGAATTGAAACCTTCCCTAAATTCTAATGTCAGCAGCGAAAAGCTTTATCCTTATTAGTTTGCATCTTTTAAGATGCAATTTTTTTTTCAGCTTCTGTCATTTTTATTGTTAATTAGTTACTTATCTTAAATTCAGTTGTTATTTCTATTCTCAACGGTCACTTCTGAAGATAAATGTCGAAATATACGAAACGTCAAGTAGAAAGATAAAGTGTCGTATTCACAAACGCACGGCATTCTTATAGTCTTAAGTAAGTTTTAAGCCAACAATTTGTGTCTCACACATCTCGTAAGGTTAGCATGTCGCTTGCGATGGAAAATATAAACTATGGACAGATTTGACTAATGTGTTTACTTGTTGCCAATCAATTGAGGTTATATGATGATTCATTTGGGAGGAGGTTACAATTGTTCTGTTTATACACCCTCCCTAGTTGCATGTGGCAAATTGCACAATTGTGACCTCCCAAATGAATTGTCAAGTGGTCTGATTTGGGTGGTAGCAAGGAATGTACACATGTTAGTCGAATCCGTCTATTGCCGTATGAAACATACGTACCACCAGAAAGAGTGCGAGAAAGCCATTGAGAACGTTATCGAAATTCGCCTCAGAGTTCTTCCAGACGTACTTTTCCGGGAAACGAAGACATTTTGTTTTGTTTGGAACAACGCTGGCTGGTACCCTTTCGCCTTCATGATCTACGCATGCTTGGAACTTGCCAGAAAACAACTGGACACCAAGAATGCTGAATATCAACCAGAAGAGAAGCGACACCACAAGAACATTGCCGATACCTGGAATGGCTGCGAATAATGCGTTGATGACAACCTGAGTGTGTTAAAATGACCGGTGATTGGACGTAAAAATGGATGCAAGCACAAATGGTGCTACGTATTTTTTTACAAGTCAAGTAAAGAAATGCACTGTACATACATACATTACTTTATTTACCCTGGGATTTCAGAGTAGCTTATGCAGCTAATATCTCCGAGCATTTAACCATCAGATCATCACACCGGGAACTAAGTCCCCTACTCTTTTCGATCATTGTGTGGGTTCTTTTACGTCCCACAGAATTAATTATGAAGAGTTGCGAGACTAAAAGAACACAGTTTGTTGCTAAGCAAATGCTTACTTTTACGAGCGCGTGTTATTCAAGAATGGATCGCGGGGCGCATAAATTCATCAAAAGAGTCTTAAAAGAGCCATTATGATAAATACTTTATTGAAATGGCTTGTTCGGTCTGTATTGGGGAATAAATAGGGAAAATGGCCTTATCTATAAAACCAGCAGCAGCTAAAAAAGAGATAATTCTAGAACGGGAAAATCCCCCCACTCTAGATAAATTACAATCATTTGTTTATCATTCTCGTAGATTTAAAACCCTATTTGTGGTAAGACTCTTTTAAAATACTGTGACAGAAAAAAACTGCACATGTTCAAACCAGTTCGTTCACTTAACTAATTAAATCTACTTAATTCAATAAATCAGTCGGACTGGTGAAAATCTCATGTCATGTACCTTCATTCCCTCCATACGGGATATGGCTCGGAGAGGCCGTAGTGCCCTGAGGGTTCGAAGAGATCGAAACACTGACAACTGTTTGTTCTCTGACAAACAAGCCAAGGAAATCTGTAAAACAAAACAATACATCTTCTTTTCATTTCACTTTCCTATTCACTTTAATCCGTAAAAAGAACACTGCGAATATGAAGTTCTTTAAAGGCAGTCCACTACGGCTACGGCTACGCGAACGTCAACAAACAAGAATAAATAGGCCGTTTCCGAGTTGCCGCCGTTTACATTTGTTTGAAAACGAGTCTTCGGGCGAAACCATTCATATGATAATGCATTCCTCCTACGGTTTGCATGAGGACTCGTTTTGAAACAGAGGCACAAGGTGTCCTATTGAGCAGTACAATGGCTCTTCAGACGCGTTGTACATGTTCCTCTCGTAACTCTCGTGATGTCCTACGTAACACAACACTGAACTAGAAATGATGATGGCCTTGCGAATGTCAACCACGCGGAGTTTGGATGTCTCAAACTCAACTAGAGGATATTTTTGTCAGGTCATTTGTGCAACCGTTTGTGCAGGGTTCTACTCACCGCCACGATAAAAGCGTCCAAGCAGTTCCAAACTGAAGAGAAGTATTTGACAACACCTAGACCGAGAATCTTAAGAATAAACTCCAGCGAAAACACAGCAGCGAAGAAATAATTTAGAATGTTTAATGTCTTTTCAAGGAGTGGCCTCTCGGGAAGGTGAATGTCCTCAAAAATCTGAAAAAAGTAAAGTGTTGTGGCATTAGTTTTCTCAATTTCAAGTCGGAGTTGATCGATAAAGAGTTTCTCTATTTCAGTGCATCAACTAAACGTAACTGAAGCAACTTTATTTATGTTTGTTTTGTGACAAAACTAGAAGTTTTTATGAACAAATATTGAACGAACAAAACCAATTTTGCTGTTTTCATACCGAGGAGGACTTGAATTCGGGACTTCGGGACTAACCAAGACAAATCCAGCTGATGGCAGTTAGGAGGATTTGAAATCTGTACCTCGCATTGTAAGTGCCTCCCTCACAGTGTGTCCCTCCACCCGCACATATGATTGGGCAGGGTACCGGTAAATTGTTAGGGAAAAGAAAGCTGGGAGAAACGTGGGGTTAACCAGGATCCCATGATGGGGATTAAGAAAACGGTTTTGCCTCTTCGGACTATAAGCGAATCTTTGCTGACGTCATTGTTTACATTTTTTCTCATTAACATACGACTTTGCGCAGAGAAGGCATCAAGGCTAGACACAAATTATTGACTTCAAACATTTAAGGAGCTTGTGGAAACTAGTAACTGGTGAATGTTTGGCTCTTTAGGTGTAATATTCGAGGAACGCTAATGAGCTCATACATTCTTTATAAAATCCCGCGTCGCGCAAAAAGCGTTAGATTCATCGGGTTTAAATTCTTTGGGACAGTTAATCGTGCTGTTCGCTTTCAATATTCAAAAGTAATGTCTTTGTAACTCCATCCGAAACTGTATCACCTATGCTAATTAATGAGGCAAATATTGTAACTAAAGGTCCTCTTATAAGACGAAGCAATGACATTGATTGGCCGGTCTTATGCGTCACCCAGCCTTGATGCCAGTTATTACTTTTACCTCGTGGGACCAATGTTCCGCTGAACTTAAGATCAACGACTATTTCTGAGTTTCCTTACCAGAACAAAGCTACTGAACATTACAGTGAAGAGAATGAACCACTCGAAATACTTGTGCTCTACCACGCATCTGATGCTGCACCGGAATTTAAGCCACTTGAAGTGTTGGTGTGACGACATTGAACACATACAGTACTCAGGCAGACAGTCGTCCACTTCAACAATGTACCTGTTGGGTGTCCTCTTGGGAGATTGGTTATCACTTGCTACGATTTGCGCTTTACCTGAGATTATTAATAGGCTGGCTTTAATTTAATCGATTTACAAACATTTATGTGATTATTTTTGGTAATGTGCGCTCTTGTAATTGATTGGTGCCCAAGATATCACTGTATTAGAACCATTCTCAGGTTAAAAAAAATTGAAACCAAACAAAATAATTCTTAGCGTCTTATTTACTTATTGCTGTCCCGTGACCCCAAGCTGTCAAAAAGAGTAAAATGTGACCGGACCGTTTAGAAGTAATGGAAAGTTTTGTAATGTTTAGTTATTTAAAAGAATAAAAAGTTAAAAGTGATATTAATCCGCAATGGTATTACAATATTCTTGTGTTACTTCTATATATACAGTGTCGATTATTCCAAATCACTTTTCGTTCTCGTTTAAATATCAAGTTTTGAGAGTTTACTACGAATATCTTGTCAAGATAACTTCAATAGCAGCATTTTTTTCATCATCATCATCATCATCATCATCATCATCATCATCATCATCATCATTTATTTGCCCTTCTTGCATGAACCACAGCAACTCAAAACTCCTGTACAAGAGGTTCTTTCACACAATTCGATCAAACATTTACCTACCTTTTTGGAAATTTCCGGATGTCTCCGTTACTCCTTCTGTAGTCTTTCTACCCACAGGGGTACCCTGTGATGCGACATTACTCTCCAGTAGCTGCACTTCGTATAGTTTGTATCTTTCTTTGAATGTAGCCACAAATAGCCGGGTCTTTTTGGTCTTGGTAAGTTTTTTTAGCATACGTTTCAGCTTGGAATTTTGTCCTTCTTCGTCATCGGAAACGTTCTCGTCGTCTTCAGTGTCAAAAGCACTCAACAAGAGAGCGATAAAAAGGTTAAGAACCTGCAGTGAGAAATGATCATTTTGCTTAAAATTCTTATTTGTCTTGCCCCTTGCCAAATAGTTTCTTTGATATAATGGGCTCCTCGTATCAGCTGCGGGAATTTGTCAGAACCAATTTGTTGATGAAATATTTATGCGTTGCTCTGCGAGACAGGTTTGTTTGTCTTACAGTAATACCATGCCATAGAAAATACAGCCAATACATTCGACGGTATTACATCCAACCTTCCCATCATGCGCCTCGCGTATGTCTCATTGCTTGTGTTGGCCACTGTATTTTCTATGGCATGGTATAGAACAGTTATGCAATGCTCTGATCTCTCGTGGTACACCATGGAATATCCCACTTGACACTTGCAGTTTCATGGTATACACACTCGTCTAAAGCCACTTGAATGTACCGAGATCTAGAATATTCCAGTGACTCGTGGAATATTGCACAGTATACCACTCGAAAGTCTTGCATAACTAGTATATATTTTTAAAGACCGTCGTTCAACAAACGCATATCTCCCAGAGGTGTGTTACGACGAACGGAGCCTACAAAGGAGATTATTTGCTAGTGAAGAATGTTCGAGTTCTCCCTTCCTCGAGGCTAGATCTTTCTAAGATTTTTTATATCACGGTTCGTCTGATTTCTAAGCTACATATGAGCAGTGCTATATAGAAATAGATATACTCACAATAAAGTTACCAATAACGAAGGCCGGTAAAAAGAACAAAATGGCCATCGGGTTGGTGGCCCTCATGCAGTCCCAGAGAGGCTCGATCCATTCCCCACACAGCACTCTGAACACCATCATGAACGCGTGCCAAAAATCATTGAAGTTCCAGCGAGGTACACCGTCTTTTCCAAACTTGTCCTCCGTGTAAGCATCACCAAATACCCTCATTCCAACCACGGCAAATATGTAGATGATGACACCGAGTATAAGGGTGATGTTTCCAACAGGACCCACACTCTTGGTTATGGCTGCGACCAGTTTGGCCATGGTCTTCCAGGATTGGGCAAGGTTTAGTACTCGGAACTTAGAAAGAAGAAAAAAAAAAAGCTTAAAAAAAGAAGTCAAAAAAAGAAAAGGTAGGATTTTAATTGACACTTGTTCACAAGTAAACTGAGACAAATTCAGGGAATGCCAGATTATGCATTAAAAGATTTGGTCCATTTCAGATCAGTAATAATAGCCATTCCAAGTTTGTTTTACTTTCAGATACGACCTTATGCAATACCTTTCATTCGACAATTTGTTTTACTTGCAAGTTCATTTTCACATAATTTTTGACCAAGGCTTCATTTTGAAACAGAAACACGAAGTAACTCCAGAAATGGACGCCTGCTTCTTCAGAGAATTTCAATCTGCAAGAATGATCTCTGAAAATGTTCAAAATAATCATAGCCAAATTTAGAAAGTCTGCTTACATTCAACATACCATCCTATCTTTTGTTAAGGAGTAGTGTGCAAAATCAAAGCATTCTTTTTGATAATCGTATGATCTTCTTTTGCTTGGGTAACAACTGAGGACAGTGCCAGTAAGTTAATTACCAGTCTCAAGCTACGGAAAATACTGAAGCTTCCACCAGACGCTGTAAGATACCCAGCAACACTTGCAATCACAATGACGGCGTCAAACACGTTCCACCGGCTCTTGACGTAAGTCAGCGGACCAAAGGCGATAAGTTTCCATATCATCTCTATCACAAAGATTATCGTGAACACCTTCAGAGTATAATGCAAATTTGTATAAGTGAAACGAAAGAGAAATTAGTTCTATACGATGAAAACTTATTAAAATAAAACTACAACAACAAAAACCTCGCACCAAGCCTGTAAAACGCTAAATAACATTCTTCGATCTTAAGAGGTCGGACACCGATTCAGATTGGGAATTTCTCTTCGCCCTTCACCAACCTAAGTATACTCGCCTTTAAGGAGAGTCTCTTTCACTTTTGTTACTTGTGATCAAGAAAGTTGACCATTCAGTTTAATTTTCTAAAGGAACAGTTAACAGGTAGTCGATGATGAGAGATCAAATCAAGTGCGGAGAATGTAATTTCTACAAATGCGTGCTAGTAAAGTTAAGATCACCCAAGGAATAATATTATCTTACCATATTACATAAGTCCAGAACTTTCTCGAATGTCCTTTCAATCCCGTAATGATAGAGAGCGAGCACAATGGTATTCAACAAAATAATTCCTATAATAACAGCGTCAAATGCGGCGCTCTCAGCAACAGAACGCATGCGTTTTCTCATAGGCTTAAAAAACGGCAACTTGTTCAAACAGGAGTCACATGCCGTCTGTGTGTGTTGAAAGCACGTCAAGACTGTTTCCGATAGACTTCGTCGATTACTGGTATCTCCTTGTTGGACTTCTGGAACTTCAGTCACTATACAGGCTGCTTGCGTGACTTCAGCCATAGCTCCTTTCGTCTTGCTGAGTTTCTTTAGCGGTTTGAGGATCTTGAGAGTGTCATTGTCTGCGATGTAGGAAGCAGCGGTTTTCTTTAAGCGCTCCTTCCTTCTCTCCTGCGAAATGAATGGATACAGAGTGCGCTCTATTTTCTACGAATTTGACGTCAAACAATTAATTTATAGATTTAAATAACTGTTTATTTTTTTTCTGTTAAGCATCATTTTAAGGTTATTTTCCATTTTAATTTAGTTTTGTGGATCACACGAAAATGATATTTTTTTGATGCCCTGAAAAAGAGGAGGTTATGGGACTTTCTTCCAATTTAATTATAAAGATCCTCAATACCCGTATATGATATACTATTTGAAACTGTTGATCTGGGTATTCCAAAAATCGCATTAATGCATGAGCAATTCAAGCGTAAGATGAGCGGACTGCCATCTTCTCATTGATGCATTCTGTTCGAATTCTGTAGTCACCTCACCTGCCTGCCTAACCATGAGTTGACAAAGAATTGATTTCGCTTACCTCTTGTTCAAGGGATTGCAATTCTTTTTCGTAAGAGAGATACACCACAGCTAACACAAGATTGAGCAGATAGAACGAGCAGAAGAAAATGGTGATCACAAAGTAAAAGACATACCACACACCTACAGCCTTGACAACCTGCGATTCCAAAAAAATGGAAATGAGGTGTGGTATGTGGTGAGGTGTTAAGCAAATTGGAATTACCCTGTAATAAGATAAAAGGAGTTGGATGACGTTAGCTCTTGGGAATGGTTTTATATAAAGCGACCATTCCTGACACCTCATTTGGCATGTTGTAGTCATTTTTGTTTAGATTTTGTTCCTTGGAATTTAGTTCTCTGGCAACAAATGCCATGCAAACATTCTTTCAACTCCCATGTCATGGTCTCGATCAACATTCACTGAACTGTTAGTTGTGCTTGGTCAACGGTTAACTCACGACGGGGCTAAAGGTTGTGTTTTATGTGAGCAAAGGTAAATGTTAAAGCAAGGGTCTATTGTGCGTCTAATAAACGCAATGCCTAATCCTCCCGCGTTTAATTTCTTATATCACCCTGGAGATCATATCGAACATATGAGACTTCATTAAAGTACCTTGTTGAAAAGGTTTTCCCAGTAGTCCATTGTTAGAATTTGAAAGGCCATTAGTAAGGCCCATCCAATGTGGTCAAAGCCGGTATAACCATTATCAGGGTTAGGTCCAGCGTCAGCCATACATGTGTAGTTAGTTGGACAAGACCTAAGAAGACGAAGAATGTGAATATAATGGTTAAGAGGAAGGGGATGATATCAATTTTTCTCTTCACTTTATTTTAGTTGTTGATCTACATTAGGTGAAACTTTCACCTACAACCTTCCACCCCTGTGCAATGCTGACAAAACACTTTCATATACAGAAGTTCGAATTTTACCATTTTCCAACATTTAAAAGGGGAATGGGGGTACTGACACTTATTCCGTTGGTATTACGGACATTATTTTGTTTTTGCCCATTTTCCAATAAAATAGGTTTCGTGGTTGTAGATTTAGTGAAAGCCAATGGTGAACAACGTATTGCAGACTCCTTATAGCAATGTTCCATTTTAAGAACGAAATTAGAGTAAAGGGGATTCTTCTCTCTTTATAGTAACGAGCCCCATTTCTCCCTTACGTCCGACTGCTCTCTGCATCCCAGTCCCTCCCATTTCGCACCAACGATTATCATTCTAAAACATCAGATTTTGCCAACAAAAATAATCTCTCAAGTAGGGTTCGTTACAGTGAGTTTAGACTCAAGATGATGCTCAAACAATTTTGAGACACTTTGTACCGAACCTAACAAGAGTGCTATTAGATACATCTAAGCATTGTGTAAGGAATGGAATTGTCGAAAAAAAAAAATTAAACAATAAAAAAGATGTACTCACC